GCCATACCCCAAGTCAAGTATTACCAAGGTTATCCACTCATGAAATAAAAAAGTCCAATGAGAGCAATCCGTTGATGATCATAGCATCACCAACAAAAGGAAGCCAAAATTGGTCACTACAATAAACTGTTTTTTTTTTCTCTCTCTCACTAAAACCACGCTGCGCAATTTCGTTTCAACAGATGATCGTACCCCAAAGGAGCGAGAAACTAAAACACACAAACATACATATTAATTCGTAAAGTCATGTGTTAGGAAAGTTTTAGAAACTAGAAAACGAGAAGATTGATTGTGTTACGTTCTTAGGCCTGGTATCAACGACGTCGTCGCGGAAGCGGTTGCCGCTTCCAGAAGCATCTTCGGGCGAGAGGAAGCCTCCCTTACCTTGTTCCAAGCTGAGGCCCAGCTGGTATGGCGGCGCGTGGAAGGCGGCGTCCCCGGAGTTGAGTTGGAGCATCATCGGAGAAGCGTCGGCGTGGTCGGCGGAGGCGAAGGTGGGGAGGCCGAGGATTTGGTCGAGGAAGTCGTCGGTGGGAGGTTCGGAAGGGTGATTGGCCATGACGATGATAGAAGAGAGGAATGAAATGATGATGTTGTTTTGTGTCTACATGAGATATGAGATGAGAATTTTGGTTTGTTAGTTTGGGGTTTCTACTCAGTCGTCACTTTGCAGTTGAAGTGTGAGAGACTATGCCCAGAACTACCAGGACTTTGGCTCTATGCCTGCTTCTTATCAAAGGCACTCAGTTTATTCATAATTTACACTTTCCATACTCATCTTGTCTCTTCTGCAAACCTTCCCCACTTTTAAACCATTACTTTCTATGGGCTTGCACCAAGGAATCAACCTTTGCTTTTTTCTTTTCGGTCTCTCCAATTCCACGACTAACCTATGTTTCTATTAGTGGTTCTAATACTGTCACTAAGGTCAATGCTTCAATATTCATCATATCATATACCGTAGATTTTTATTAAGATAATTACAATATTAACATATACCATTTACGCTTAGTAATTTCGTTCCCGATTTTGTTTTTAAAAAACTTTTAATGTAATTCTTTCTGTTAGATTGATGTTAATATAGTTTCAAGTTTTACTTATCAACTTCTCAGTAAGTTACATTAAAATTTTGATTTCTCACGTATTAAAATCTAAAATATTTTTATTTTAAAGGTGTCATGTGTCAAAATAATGAGTTTTAAGATTGAAGATGTTGAAAATTTTGATACATGACATTTCTTTCTAAAAAGCACATTGAGTTTTTTTTTAAATAGTATTCAATTGAGTCAAACAAAATATAAAACCTAATATGAATCAAAACTTAAACATAAGAATCAAATTATTAATTAAGCTTATACTTTCAGTTTTATTCATTTATGTGAAAAAACTCAAACAATTATTTGCAGTGCAAAATATACTTTTTATAACGACTATTTATATCGGTTATAATCCATTAGATATAAAAAGTGATGCAATGATATAATTGTAAATAAGATAATATTTTTTATATCGGTTATAGTTATAAAAACTATAGAAAGTGGATACAATGATATTTTTGTATTAAAAGAGAATTTTCTATATTTGTTCTAGTTATAATCAATATAGAAAATAGACGCAATTACATTTTTGTAAGGTTTAATGTCACTTTAGGTCCTTATTTTCGCCCCAAAATCTCAAATAGGTCCCCTTCTTTTTCAGCGTCTCAATTGGGTCCTTATTTTTGTAAAATTGAATCAAATAGAGGCTTGTTGTTAAATTTGACAAACGACCGTTTAAGATTATCTTACATGGCATGCTGAGGTTTTTGTTTAATCTGAGGTGGCATTAAAAACGTGTGTAAAATGTATTTTGTATTAAAAAATTGAGTGCAAAGAGGGGAAATCAAATTTAATTAAGGGCAAAGTGGGCTAAACAAATTAAATTAAGTGCAACCCTTTCTTTCTAGATCGAAATCAGATTGGGGAAATCACACCGAAAGCCTGGCGATGCCGTTTTGGAATCAGCGCGATTGAGCGGGGCAATAGAGTCGGGGTCATGTCGTGGCCAGAGCAGAGAAGGAGCAATTGGCGGTGAAATTGGTGAAGTGAGAGGGTTACTAGGAGAGAGTTTCTTCCACTTCCACCTTCGCACAAGCTCTTATTGCTAGGAGAGAGCCTTCTTTTCTCTTCCCTTTTCTGGATCGCGATTTGTAGAGAACCCTTCTTCCCCTCTGTTTTCCTTTGGGTTGTTATTGCCACTAGGGGAGGCGTGTTCCGGCAGAACAAGCGCGACCTCCTTCTTTACTGCACAGTGGTTAAGGTAGTGGAATCGATGGCAATGTCGCAGCGTAGGGGTTTCTTGCGTTTGGACTGCGAATTGGGAATTTAGGCTTTTCGATATTGCTTTTCGGTTTCTGTTTAGTTTTCTGATTTTGCGATTGAGGTTCTGATCTCGTGGTATGGCGCATGTGTTTTGTTTTTGCGATTGGGTTTGACATTGGTTGTTTCCACCTTCGAAGCAACCTGGAGGGTGGACGCAGGTTGAATGTGTAGCGGTTGTGATGGGAGTCGCGGTGGCCACCGACGACATCACGGCTGGACTTTTTGGATTGATGGGTTTGACCTAGTTGGGCCTACAAGTCCATATTAGACTTTGATTATGCAGGAAAATATTAAATATTAATAATAATAGTAAGATAAATGAAATTCAAAACTAATATTTATATATATAAATAGGTGTCACGTCTGATTAAACAATACACATCATGCCACGTAATCCCATCTTAAAAGGTCGTTTGTCCAATTTAACGGAAAGTCTTTATTTGATTCAATTTTACAAAAATAAGGATCCAATTGACACGTCGAAAAAGAAATGGACCTATTTGAGACTCTTGTTAAAAGTGACATTAAACCTTTTTGTAATAAATAAGAAAATTATCTATACTGGTTCTAATTATAATCGGTATAGAATGCTTAAATTCTTGCATTTATCTGAATATTGTGAATAAGTCAGTTGAGGTTATACTTAATGATTTTCATCACTAATTCCCTCAATTTTGTAGGCTATTGGTATGTTTTGAAAGAGGATCAAATTATCAAGGAGTTGGAACCCAAGAAGAACAACAAAAGTATCAAACTAGAAGGCTGAAGAAGGCGCAGGCACGCCTGGGCGCCCTCTTCTGGGGCATTGAGGGCCAAGGGCCACGCAACCACGCTTGGGCATCCTAGCGAAGGCGCTGAGCGTCAGCCACTTTTGCTGAAGTCACGCCTAGCGCCCTTCTGTCCGAGCGCTAAGCGTGACACTTGCTGACGTGGCACTCTCGACTTATTTAAAGGCTTTTAGGTGATAGGGTGAATATCTTTTGACGGCTGAAGCACATAAACCCTAACTTCGACCTTTTGGAGCAAGATTGGGCGCTTGAGAGCTCTCCCTTTCTCTTCCTTGGGTTTCCATCTATTTCATATTCTTCCATTGTAAGCCAAGGTTCTCCATGACAATGGAGAGCTAAATTCATTTGGTGTTGGGGAAAGATGTAACCTTTGAACTTCATGTAGTTGAACATGTTTTGAATATATTAAGCTTCTTTCATTGAATGTTAGTGATTTTCTCCTATTCTTAATGTTTGTTATGTTTTTGGTCATTCATAACTAGATGTTTGGATTTATTTGTTATTGGGAAATAGCTTATGAACTGTGATTTGGAGTAATCTACCTAAAGGAAATATTATCTAGAAATAGAGATAGGACCTTTAGTTGTCATAAACTTCTTTTCTTAATGCATAATTGATTATTAGGGTTTTTCAAGAGATTGATGTCTAATAATCAAGTCTAGGCTTTTTACATTAAGGAATTGAGTTTGAAGTAATCTAGAAAGTTGGCATTAGCATTTTAATGAAGAAGATGAGTTCTAATATGCATGAAAGTGAAGTAGGTGAAATCTAACCCCAACATCACCATCTCATATCATATTAATTTCATTTATTCACTCTTGTTTTAGCTACAAAAGATCAATTTACATTTAAAGTATCATGTTTAATTTCATTGCAGTTAAATTTCATTCAATGAGATCATTCTTTAGTCTTAATTAGTTCTGTCATTATACGATTGTTTAGTGTTACTCGAGTCTCTTGGGAAACAATACTTGATCTTACCATTTTATATTACTTGAACAATTTGGTACACTTGCCAATGAGTTAACAGTGTCACCGTCTGATGTTAGTCTTCATCAGGTTCAACGTACCCGTCTTCCATCATATCCCAAATGTCTTGGGATCTCAATAATGCCTTCATCTGTAGGCACCAATTGTCATAATTGGTTTTTCTCGTCAATTGTGGCACAATCATACCATTGACAACCATTGTCATCTCTCTCACAAAAAAAATCAAGCACTCACTTTTTCTCTCACAGTGTTTGACTCTCTCCTCTCTCTCTTTTTCTCTCTCGGTACTCAGAGCATAAAGATTTGATACCACTGTTAAGAAAAATCTCACGTTACACTCAGATATTTTTCTAAAATTGATTCTTGCTATTCATTGATAATTGAAGGGCTTTAAATAGCCGCAACACTTACAATATTACGGGGAATAAAAATAAAATATCAACTATCTTAAAAATAAAATTTGCTTAATCTATCATAAAATAATAGGTTTAATGTCTCAATAGGTCCCTATTTTCGTCCCAAATTTGAAATAGGTCCCTGTTATTTTTGAAGTCTTAATTAGATCCTTATTTTTGTTAATTTGATGCAAATAAATCCTTTCCGTCAATTTCAGAAAATGGTGTTAAAGAGTGTGTGACGTGGCCTGTGTGAATGCAATTTTTTAATACTCAGAAATAAAGAATGAAGTAAATATAGTATAATCTATGGTGAAATTAATTAAACAGGGGGCAAATATGGAAAAACTTAATGTCTTTTTTGATTAAACATACATCATCTGTGCAAGTGGGAAATCAAAATCAAATTGGGGGATTTTTCTATTCTAGAGAGTTGGGAAAGATCCCTAGAATAGAAAAATCATTGGATTTGGATACAAAAAATTGAGTAAAAAGTTGAAATGAAATAGTAACGTTAATTGTGAATGGCAGATGAAGTTCCTTTGTGAGAAGTTGAAATGAACCCTTCTCTCCTCATCTTATCTTCCTTGGATTTTCTGCAGAAAACGACCCAAGAATTGACCTCCAAAGCAATGCAAAGGCCAATGAGAGTAGAGAGTCCTAGGCAATAGGTCAACTTGGCGTAGGACCTACTTGCACCCATCACCTCAAATCCTTGAAAGACATTCACAAACCCAAGCACCACACACGAGTACCCTACAAAGTGGTGGTACGATTTCCAGTACTTTCTGAACTTGTTCCTTGTGTTTGGCCTAAACAACAGTGCCAGAGTCTGCAACGCCCCTAAGCAGAACACTCCGATTCCAAGCTTCCGGTGAAGCCTGTACTCCACTCCCGGCGACAGTTGCCCCAGCCGGATTCCGATGCCAAACCCCACCGTCCCCAGAACGAAACCAATCAGTTGAACTCGTGCATCATCACTCTTTCCCAACTCTGACACCACACGAGCCCTAGAATAGAAAAATCCACAAATTGATTTTGATTTCCCACTTGCACAGATGATGCATGTTTCAGAAAAAAAAAACATTAACTTTTAACAATATTTGGCCTCTGTTTAATTAATTTCACCATGGATTATACTATATTTACTTCATTCTTTATTTCTGAGTATTAAAAAATTGCATTCACACAGGCCACGTCACATACTCTTTAACGCCGTTTTCTGAAATTGACGGAAAAGATTTATTTGCATCAAATTAACAAAAATAAGGATCTAATTAAGACTTCAAAAATAACAGGGACCTATTTCAAATTTGGGACGAAAATAGGGACATATTGAGACATTAAACCTAAAATAATATTGTATCTAGATAAACCGAAAATCATAACTATGTATCCCTATTTTATCTCTATCAAATCAAATTAAATATTACTAGACCCAAAAACTAATAAAATAATATTTAAACAAAATTATTAATAAAACCCTAAAATTTAAGTTTATCCCAACACATAGAGCATGGGTTGAAGAGTAGTGTAGGATATCTAGACCATTGTATTAGACCATGTAGTGTAGGTTTGTTTAAGGCTTGTACTAAGGCCTAAGTAGAATAGGATTTTTCTTAAGTTAGACATCCAAACCAAATGGAAAGTGTGTGCCATGTGACATACTTTCATTGGAGAGGATTTGCTTTCTAAAAGTGGCCACATGGTACCCTAAGGGTGGAGAGGATTTCTTTTTAGTAGTGACCACATGTCCCTCCACCATTGGAGAGGATTTGGTTTTAGTAGTGGCCACATGACACTCTAGGAATGGAGAGGATTATGTTTTGTGAGTGGCCACATGTCCTCCCATTTTTGAAGAGGATTTATTGACACTTGTCCACTCCTTAGAAAGCCTCATTTTTTGTCAATGAGAGCAAATGTGGGAGATCATGCTTTTAGTGTTAGAATGAGACACCATTGGTCTATAAATAGAGGGGTCTTCACCCTTGTATTTCATCTTGGATTAATGCAATATTATGGTGCCAAATTATGACCATACATTTCCTAGATCAAGACTAGAGAAACCCTAGAGGTCCCTCTAGTCACCTTCCTCCTTAAGTTGGCCTCACCTCTCTTGAAGCCATCACAAACCACCTTACCATCAACATACACCCCAAAAATCATGAGCTTCTACCCCTTTCACCATCATAGTTCATCAACCTTGGTCCTTTCCCCACACCATTTCGCATTATAACTCCAAGGAAACACCCATTCATGCACATCTCCTAGTTTTGGACACCTTGCTAAGGAGGTTGCTATCAGACGTTCTAGTCACTAAGCGAGTCGGAGCTCTCTAGGTGAGCCTAATGAAATAGGCTCCCAAGAGTTTGGCTATTGGGTGAGTAGAACTATCATTGGAAAAAAGTTCTTTGAAAAGTGTACAAAGCTCATGGTGGTTGGGGTTTCCATGCGAGGGATGGATTCATGAGGGGGAAATATGAGATTTTCTCTAAATGACCACTTAACCTGACAGTTCCTTGTTAAGAAAAAAATAATTTTAAAAAATTCAAAGATCTTGTAGGGACCAAGTCATTAAGCGAGTGTACCTCCTAGAGGCATGTGTTGGGTTGTGGAAAATAAGACTGATTTATTATTCTCAATCATAAAAAATACATTATGATACTCTCTATTTGTAATAATCTAATTCTCCTAAAAAGGGAAATAGGGAGAAACTAGGAAAGTAAAATAAAATAAAAGATTATATATTTATTTCCTCTAATTAGGAAGATTCTAAAGATATTATCTCAAATTACAACACTCCCCCTCAAACTGGATCATACAATATTGTATGATCCAAGCTTGGAATAGTTAACCTCAATTGTAGAGAACGTCAATAAAACTTCAACTTGGACAGCAATGGACGAGGGCGAACTAGCACAATGAAACTTCAACTTGGACAACAATGGACGAGAGAGATTTCCATAAAAAATGGACGATGACTTGCAGTAGCAAACTGAAACAATGGATGAAGGCCTGTAGTGGTGAATCACAACAAAATGCAGGGACTAGATTGTCATTGGCAAACAACAACAAAACTTCAAGAACTTGATTTCCATGAGTAACAGATGGGAGGCCTACAAAGGCTAACAACCACAAACTTGTAGGGACTTAACCACCCTGAACAACAATGAACCTTTAGGGACTTAATTGCCCTAATAACAACGAACCTTTAGGGACTTAACTGCCCCAACAACAACGAACCTTCAAGGACTTCAATGTCCTAACCTTTAGGGACTTAATTGCCTAACAACAACGAACCTTCAAGGACTTCACTATCCTGAACAACAATAAACCTGCAGGAACTGAACTACCCTACAGTGGCTAACAACAACAAACCTGTAAGGACTTAACCACCCTATAGCGGCTGAAACTTTCCTTTCCCTCACGATTGAACGACATATGCACGTTAATGACAGAACGTGAAGGTGGAAAAACTTCAAGGACTTAATTGCCCTGAACAACAACAAACCTGCAGGAATTGAACTGCCTTGCAGTGGCTAACAGCAACAAACCTATAGGGACTTAACCACCCTACAGCGGCTGAAACTTTCCTTCTCCTCACGACTGAACGGCATATGCACGTCAATGGCAGAACGTGAAGGTGGAAGAACTGGTAAGAACCGATCTGTACTTGGGGACAAATCTGAAACCCCTAACATCGAACAAGGTGTACTAGATCTTGCTATAACACTTTGCTTCTTGCTTTTCCAAGAGATCAAGCTACCACTAATGGAGACACAATATCCGGATGTGGACCTTCTATGAGAAAAAGATCATGCCCAATAAACATCTAAATAACAAGTCACTCTTTTATGATTATTAGAACCATATAAAAACCATTTTTCCAGGAGATCCTTTAATGTACTTTAATATTCAGATAACTACATTCCAATGATCTTCACACAAATAATTAAGGAAATGTCAAGACAAGTAATGGTAATATAATTTAATTTTCCAACTAGTCTTCTATATTCTCAGGGTCTAACATAAACTCCCTTATGTTTTGGTATAAGTTTAGTATTAAAATCCATGGTGTCAATAAATTTTGAATTCATCAACCCAGTTTCCTCTAAAATATCCAATGCATACTTCCTTTAAGATATAACAATACCATAGGTTAATTGTGCCACCTCAATACCCAAGAAATGTCTAAGTTTTCCAAGATCTTTAGTTTGAAAATTGTTGTAAAGATGTTGTTTCATCTAAAAGATGTCATGATTGTCACTACCTGTAAGGATGATGTTATCAACATCTATTATCAACTAAACACATCCAACACTCAAGTGTAATAAAAGACTAAATGATCTGCCTCACACCCGAGTCATACAAAATTGTTGAACAATGTTACTAAATTTTCCAAACCAGACTCTAGGAGACTGTTTTAGGAAATATAAGGATTGACGAAGACGACATACCAACCCAGAAGACTCTCCCTTAACAATAAATCTTGGATTGCTCCCTATAAATCTCTTCTTGCAAATCTCCGTTGAGGAATGCATTTTTACATCTGGTTAAAGAGGTCATTGTTGAAGAGTCGTCATGGCTATAAATAAACAAATAAATGCCATCTTTGCCATTGGAGAAAAAGTATCATCATGATCTAACCCAATAATTTATGTGTAACCTTTGGCCACAAGACGGCCTTTGAGGTGATCAATAGTTCCATCAAGACCAACTTTGATAGCAAAAATCCACCTACAACCAACAACATATTTTCCAAACAATAACGGGACAAACTCCCAAGTTCAGCTATTATGAAGAACACTTAGTTCATCTAACATGGCCTAGCGCCAACTAGGATGGGCTAAGGCATCAGTAACAGATTTTGGGATGGTCACAAAAGAAATAGACAAAAGATAGGTATAAAAAGGTGAAGACAATCTATGGTAACTTAAAGCAATAAATGTGGAGATGGATTATGGTAGAACATATACCTTTTCAGAGAGTAATTGGAAGGGTAGACTTAGTTATCGAAGCTGAAGGAGACAAAGTAGTTGACACTTAAATTAAGTCACTTGATAATTGTTGTGAAACACCTGGTACACTAGACATAATTGGAGGAACGCAAATAAGAAGAATATTAACTGTATGAGGAATATTGACTGTATTAGGAGACATATCAAAAGAAGAATGATTGTTAAAATAAAAAAAAAAAGACTCATGTGACATTTTCAGAAACAAAATAACAATTAAAAAAATGAATAAAACACTTTATCTTTTTCTGATTTAATAAAACCTAAAAAAACACATTTTTGTGATTATACTAAGAGTAAAATTATCAACAAAACATGAAATATATATATATATATATATATATATATATATATATAAAATGTTATCATAATTATTTATACTAATATATTTTTCTAAACGTGACTTATAAAAAACAGGGTAATTTATCTCTTAAAATATAAATATAAAACATAAAATTTTGACTCATTGACTTCACTTAAAGGACTTCGTATAAAAAAGCATTTTCCTTTTATATTATGCTTTTAGGTATAATCCATCATGTCCGAAATCATAATCCATTATATTATAGATATGGGAATTATCCACCACTTTAATAAATTATTGTACCTAAGAATCAATTACCAGTATCTTCTTCAAATTTTAATATTGAAATTGCAAACAAAGTTATTCACTAAACCAATTTGAAGATTGTAAAGTAAAATTACCTAAAATCTTAATTTAAAATTAATTATATCAGTTTCTTTTAATACAACATAATGTCTTATAAGAATTATAAATTACCTAAAATCTTAATTTAAAAATAATTTTATATCAGTTTTTTTAATACAAGATAATGTCTAATATGAATTATATATCGATACAATATTTAAAATTTAATACATTTAAATAATTAATTAAAAATTATATAAAAATTCCATATATCCAATATATTTTTCATGATTCAATTATTCACATTAGTTTACCCTTAAAAAATGTATAGTGACTAACATTTATAAATAGTTAAATAAATTATGTAAATATTTAGAAGGTTTAATAAAATTTTGTTTCATATTTCTTTAATTTTATATAGCTTGTAAATTACAAAAGAAAATATAATATCATTGTAATTATTCTTTCTCATTTCTTTTAGACAATTAAATTAGTCGAGAGAATTTAATTTAATGTTTACAAGTATTTTATTTTCTAAAATTATTTAAAATTTATCTAATAAAGAAAATTTTAATTTAATAAAATAATAAGTCTTTCATGAAAAAGAAATTAAAAAAACTTAATCAAATTTTAAAGTAACAGATAAGAAAGACACAAAACTCAGGAAATTGTTATAGAAATAGTTTCAAGAGAGCACAAAATAGATAATGTCTTTTCTCAGCCAATTGCTCACACATTATTTCCTTGCAAAAAATTCTAAGCTTTTTTTCTTTTTTGCTTTGTATATTCATTTATATATTTAATTTGGTCCAATTATATATTCATTTATCACTCACTTTTAATTACTACAATTATTTAATTATATAAAACATACAATTTACAAAACCAGGCTCTTACCAATGGGCCGAAGCCGAAAGCCCAATTCGATACGTCGGAAACATATTACAAATTTCTACTTTCCTTATCTATCCGAGCATGGAGTGAGGAAGCACTCAGAAACAGACATGGCGTTACAGCAATCAGTACCATCATCTACCACCTCGAGAAACGTGCTCGTCTTCCTCAAAACCGTCGTTTCGAAACCCCACTTTCGAGTTGCTTCTTCTCCCTCGTGGAGGACTCCGCGCTGGAAAGGGTTGGGGAGTTTGAAGTGCTCCATCACAACGACGTCGTTCCCTAAGCCCTCCGAGATTCCGTGGCAAAAGGAGCTCTGCAACTCCGTCAACCTCATCGGCATCGTCGCCGTCCCCGTCGAAATCAAGCACCTCCCATCCGGCAAAGTAGTTGCCTGGACCTGCCTCTCTGTCAAGAAAAGCGCCACCCAAACTTCGTTGATAAACCTCACTTTCTGGGACGATCTCGCGCTTGTCGCTTCCCAGCATCTTCAGAAAGGTCACCAAGTTCATGTTTCCGGTCGCCTCGTAACCGACACCGTAGAAAACGAGGAAGGCAAAACCAACTCCTACTACAAGGTTTTTCTTTACCCCAATTTGATTATGGTATAGGGTTAAGTAAAAGTTATACAAATACTTATTTAAAATTGTTGAGTACCGATTTTCCTCTTTAGTATGTACATTTAAAATTGGTCTCTTTTAATCCAAAATACGTAGTATTTTTTATTTGCTTAGTCCTTAGTTTAGACACTAGTGAATAAAGGAAAAATAACTAGAAGATAAATAATGGCTATATGTATCAAAATTGTGCTTTGAAGTAGTAAAATATATATATTTTAAGTAAATTGTGTAAATCAGGACTACGAGTAATAAATCTTGAAAAACGTATATTTTTGGTAAGCTGGTTGAAATCGTATAAGCGGGATAAAACCTCTAAGTTTAGGAGAACTTGAAAGTTATAAGCTAGGACCAGCTGATGGAATTGAAAATGTGTCCTAACATTATTGAATGATCCAGTTGATAGATAGAAATTTATGTAGTGATAAACTAGTGATCATAAAAATTACAAGATATTGAAATAAGCTTGTGTACCAAACAAGCTTATTTTGGTCGTTGTATACTAGTCATAACTTATTAGTTAATGTACATTGTGGTGCTTCTTAAGAAGAAACAGTTTTGACTTGATTTTGTTCACTTTGGATGTGGCCAGGTTGTTGTTCAACAGCTGAACTTTATTGAAAGGAATCTCTCAAAGGTGCCATTGCCGGATCTAGAGTCTGATGGAAGTGGCAAGTGTTGTGTTATGTGGAATGTGATGTAATCTTGGCTTGATTTTGTGTGTTTTGCTAAATATTTTTCTTCTTGTTTCAGGTAGGAAAGTAAGCAGTGGTACTGGTTCTGTGGTGGAATTATGGCAGGCGTTCTTTGCAAACCCAGGGGAGTGGTGGGACAATAGGATGACAAAGGTGAATTGTTGATTCAATTTGTGAATTTAGAGAAGTTGCATACTCGGTTGTTATGCTATCTTTGCAAATTTAATAAATCTTTTTGTTCTCATGAAATTTTATTTGGTATTCTAATTTGATATGTATATAATTATAATTTATTTCTTAACATTTGATATTAAAGAATGAGAATACGTCTTTTTTGATGATTACTTCATACAGTGTTATTTCCACCCCCTTCAAGTTGCATCCTCCAAGTTCTTTGTTAATTTTTCATTCCTTATATCTGGAAAAATTTTTGGAAAATTTGCAGAGGAACCCAAAAGCCCCTGATTTCAAACACAAAGATACAGGGGAAGCTCTATGGATCGAAGGCAGATACACTCCGCAATGGGTCAGCTCCCAACTGGAAATACTAGACGCAAGAATGGGGTCTAAT